ATGAATGCTCTGCAAAAACGGACGGACTCTTTGTGGACGTTAACATGGTTGCCACATGGATGCTCCGCAAAAACGGACGGAGTCATGGTTGCCACATGCATGCTCTGCAAAAACGGACGGACTCCTTGCGGACGTCAACATGGTTGCCACATGGATGCTTCGCAAAATCGGACGGAGCCTTTCTGGACGTTATCATGGTTGCCACATGGATGCTCTGCAAAAACGGACAGACTCTTTGCGGATGTTAACATGGTTGCCACATGAATGCTTTGTGGTAAAGAACTGAGTCATAACGACGAGAGTCTGTGAAAGCACAGAAACACTAAGAAAAAAACGGCGAATCACCCGTAAAAATGCAGTCAAAACGGCTTTTCCAGCATAAAACGCGCTCCAAAACAGCAAAAACTCGAGTTTTGGACCCGAAAAGAGCAAAATTTTTGCGCAAGCAAAAATGAGCAAAAGAGCAAGAACGACAAAAAAGAGAGAAGAAATGTTCAAAAACCCGAGGAAAGGGCACACCAGACAGAAAAATATCGAAGCAGGAAGAACGAAAAGATGCCGAAAAAGGGTCGCGGGGCGGCGTGTCAGCCAGCTGGCAAAAACAAGGATGGCCGTAGATGTCATTACATCGCGGCGAAAGCGAGCCTGCAGTCCGCAGCTGCTCGAGCACCCAAGTGACAGTTTGGTTGGACGGGAAGTTCACGATATCACCACCTGTCACAGACCCCGTGGCCAGCGTCAGAACGTACTTCTCACACTCACACTCTGCTTGCTCGAAAGCTCCCACAGGCTTTGCAGCTTCGCTTCGCAGCCTGGCCTAGCACTACAAGGTCCACTTGCAGGTCCTGAGCCAGGCCGACCAACCGCGAAAACCTGCAAGGAAGCGGAAGTGGTGGCAGACATTGGATAACCTGATGGTTGACCCGGCCGTTGGTACCCTTCCTTATCCCTGACTTTCCCTGAATTCGGAACCATCATTTCGCGCCAAACAAAACTCATGTGCAACGACAGGTCAGGTAGGTTCCAAGCTCTTGCTGCGGGGTCGTCAACGACTTGGTGTCACGGTTTCTGCTCCTGGGAGGGCAGGCATGAGGCTATAGATTGCACTTCAACAGAACCGCCAGCGAAGCAACAAGAAACGCCAGCACTGCGCCGTGCGGTCCTTGCAAACGCGCTAAACATGCGTGTCGACCGTGGCGGTGCCTCGTCTCGTCTTGTCATGTCTGTCTGCATATTTCTCGGCTTCACCACTCTCGACGGCAAACCCAAAACATCAGTCTCTGCTGTTCAAGAATAACCCATAAATGCCTGCTCTGGCCTCATTGCTCAAGGATATGTGGCTGTCGGTAATGTGCAGCAACCGTATAGCTGCAAGATCGCGCGATTCAGCCTGCGCATGGAAACATCAAGCTCCCGGATCACATATTTCATGTTGGTGCCTGCGCATCCTCTGCACTCGATGCATGGTCAAGGCAGAACAGGATCCAAAAAGCAACGACATAATTCCATTTCATACCGGACCCCTTGAGCCAATGCCATGAAAACGTAGGACGTCTTGGGGAGCTCAACATGGCACTTGACCATGCAACATCCTGTTTTTGCCGGTGGCGGGAGCACACGTGGAAGACGGGTCGCAGAAGTCAGCTAAGATACGGACAACCGCGAAAGCTCCCGCCATTCATAGCTAATTTGTCTCAAGAAACCTCGCACCAAAGCTTGACCAAGAGGTGGATCGGTCAGCAAGAGCTCTTCATACTTGCTCTTCTGCAGCACCAGAATGCTCGTGGACTCGGGCTCCTCGCTATCCTCGCCCTGCGTTGAAGGCACCAAGGCGGTATGCTCATAGGGGAAGGTGTTCACAAAAGCCAGGAAGCCAATGAAATCCCCTGGGCCGGCGATGCAAACCAACCGATCCTTGCCGAGGTCACCTAAGACCTTTCTTTGCGGACTTGACGGTTTTGTCCTTTTCCTGCTCGGGTGTGCATAGGCGTGGAGCGTGCCTTCCAGCACGCAGGCACATTGTGTGCACTCCTCGCCGGCATTCCACAACACGGCACCCGGCTCCAACACCTTCTTCTCGAAAAGGCCCATCGCTCTGTCGAGCACCTTGTCCTGCGAGCCGTCCTTCGGCAAGAAGTCGCCGAAGTAGCGCTTCAGCACTTCACGCATAAAAGCCTGCTCGGACCCAAGTAATGGCTGGGATTTGCTTGGTAAGCGCTGGCCTAGGCGAGACAGCACCCCATTTTCACAGCGCTGCAACGCACTCTGGTAATGGGACTGGTAGAACAAGCCGTAAGCCACACTGCTGCCTGGGCCAGGCAACTCCTTCAGCTCCACTCGGGCCTGTTGCAAAACCTCCTGGACACAGCTTGAGAGCTCGGTGATCACCAGGCGCTTTTGGCTCTCCGCTGCCTTCCGGCCCAAAGTGGCCAGCTCCAGTGCCGCAGAATAATCCAATCCTTGGAGATTCTGGCAGTTCAGCAGTATCCATTCCGGGCCATCGGCCGAATCAGCCAGCAGTTCTCGCACAGCATCGGTGAAAGCCGGGGTGGAAGCGAACATAAGGAAACCACTGATGTGCACAACCTCGATAAGATGCCCCAACTCCTCCAGGGCCGAGTGTTCGGCGAAGTCTCTCGTGCAGATGGCTCGGTAGAATCGCGCATCCCCGGAAGTGCGGACCCCCACCTGGGAGCCGCTGTAGCGGATTGTGAAGAAACTCATAGCCAGGAGCGTGCCGACTAGAAGCGCGTTGTTGAATCCATAGAATTTCACAACCAAGGCCATGACGCCCACAATGAAGACATCTGATTTGTGCGTGTGCTTGGAGCAGATGTCGACGATGGTCTCCTTGACAAAGACCAAGCCCAGCCACATAAACAGACTTCCCGGCAGCACTCGCGGAAGTCGGTAGAGAAGTTTGGAAGCTACGAAGAGGCAAAGGATTGCACCCAAAGAAAGACAAGTCCCCACAAACTTGGACCTGCCACCCAATCGATAACAGGTCACATTCAAGGAGCACAGAATGTAGCAAGGCCAACCACCTCCAAGAAGGGCACTCAGGAGGTTGCTGAAGCCGATGCCACGAAGCTCCTTGTCCAAGCTAAACTCTCGCTCCGTCAGCAGCTCCACGGCCTTCAGGTCCATCAACCTGATCGAAACCCAATCACTGATCTCGGTGGCATGTAAAACATAGCTTGCCTACAGTAGGTGCAGCATTGGACCGAACAAAGCCCAGCGAAATCAATGGTTTGTTTTTGATTGTTCAGCATGTTGCGCATGGCTAAATTGCACAACACACAGAAGAAGCGATGCATCCGCGAAGCATTAGCAAGGATGCGGAAGCTGCGATGCCCAGCATGGTCGGCATCATCTCCAGGAGGACAGGCCAATGGATGTACTGCCAGCATGAGCCATATAGGTTCAGCATTTGAGAGTACCAAGCTCCAGATTCTGAAGGCAAATCCGCAGCGGGGCTCTGGAAAACCCATGTCTCCTGCTGCAATTCTGCGATCGTACAGATACCTAGCGCATCAAGAGCAGAAGGAGCAATGCCAATAACCAGCAAACTGAGGGCGATGGCAACAGGTGAGTGTACGGCTTCATCCAATGCGAAGAGGAGTAATCCCAGCAACACGGCAGGCATCCAGTGGCGCCAAGTCTCCACGAGGGGTATGGCGAGACCCGCGGAAACATGCAGACAGCTTGAAATCAAGAAGATCGCCACACCAAACAAGGCGCCCTTTAACACAATGAGAGGCACCGCGCGAAGATACTTAGCGAGGCCCAGGCGTGTTCCTAGCAGCAAAAGCATCCCGATGCTGGCCGTGCACAGAAAACAGCTTGCAACACAGGTGGCCTGCACCTCCGGGGGACTCTTGTGTGTCATCTGCTTGGAAATTGTCAGGTGGAGTGCATGAAGGATGGGTATCATCTCGAGCATTGGACAACAAATACCGTTTTGCATGTCCGAAAAGAATAGAGTGCCCAGCTGCGCACCCAATTGGCTCAACAACCACACGCTCGTGCCATTGGGAAGCATCATAGGGTATGAATGTGCAGCGGCCGTCGCGGTAGGCGCATCAAGCGCAGCAAACAAAAGGGTTCCGTAGCTCACGGCATTGATTGCACTCATGAGAAAAACAACACCCACAGCCGGAATCTCTTGCAGAATGCTGCCATCTTTTCCAACACCTGAGCTGTGCGGGCCATCTGACGCATTGGGCTTTAGACCATCGAAGGACAAAGACTGGCCACGAAGAGCAGGCCAATTGCGGCAGAGCTCCTGGTGACGTGCAAGCAAAGAATCAACTACATCACCTAGGACCACAAACATCAATCGTGGCACACGGCATGCACTCCAAGCCTGACGCTCTTCGACAGGTTCCAGCAAAGGGTGATGCAGCATTCTGCTCTCCCGCAAAGCTAACTATCTCGCAAAATACGAGCCAAATGCATGCTGGATCAACGGACGTGCAGCCGAAACCTGAAAGGGAAGCGGTACTGTCGCCGACAAATCTCTACGCAACCTTACTCGATGGTCAAAATAAACAAGATAAACACGCTTGGGAGTGGGAACTGACGCAAACCAGACGTGCTAGTTCTGGTACCTTGTTCCCTCGTCCCATTACCCGGAAGTTTGAATTCGTTGCAATGTGTCCGAACTGGCTGTCAGAAAATTCCCTGTCGTGCGGGGCCCCGGCGGCATTTGTATGGGGGTGCCTTATGGGGGGGGGTCTATTCCGGAGCAGTTATTATTCCGGGATGAGGAGGACGCTCGGAATCATTTTCGGCGATTCGGGTTCGCAACCCAGCAACTTGGTCTTGTAAGGGCCCGCGGGGGTGGGATTGCTGTACGTTTGATATGTTTTCTGCTGTATCCCATGTGCGCTGCATCTGCATTTGGTGTTTGTTCGTTGTTTGTCTGTCTTTCGGTCCAGAATTTCGGAGTTGCTACCACAGCACCCAACAAAAAGAAGGTTTTGACCCCTAACCCTCAATCCCGAAATCCCAAAACCAGAAACCATGAACGCAGAAACGCTGAATTTAAATAAACCCCAAACCCAGCAACCCCAAGCTCAGAAAATCTAAACCATCCTGAACCGCTAAGCCACAGAAACCCTGAACCCGGAACCCTAAACTCAGAAACCCCAAATCCATGAACCCAGAAACCCAAACCCAGAAACATCCAGAACCTCTAGACTCCAATCTCCAGAAACCCTGAATCCAGAAACCCGAAGCCCCACCCCTTTTAGTTGAGCCCTAAACTTTGCCCTAAACCCCACCCTATATCCCGAAACCCCCAAACCCACACCTTGAACCCAGAAACCCGAAGCCCTTGAACCAAGAAACCCTAAGCAACCCCAAACCCAGAACCCCTAACACCAGCCCTCACCCTCAAAACCCAGAAACCCTGAACCCGGGAAACCCTTTTGCATCCAGCAACCCCAAACCCTAAACCCCCAAGCCCAGAAACCCTGAACCCAGAAACCCTAAACTCAGAAACCCTAAGCCAAAAAACTTTCGTCAGCACGAGCTTTAATTACAGGCCGGCAAGCAAACCCTGAACCCCCAAAACCTCGAAACCGGAAACCGTAAACCCAGAAACATCCAGAAACCCTAGACATTTAAATTCCAAACCCCTGAAAATAGAAACCCTAAATCCAAAAACCCTGAATCCAGAAACCCTAAACCCCACCCCTTTTAGTTGAGCCCTAAACTTTGCCCTAAACCCCACCCTAAATCCCGAAACCCCCAAACCCACACCTTGAACCCAGAAACCCGAAGCCCTTGAACCAAGAAACCCTAAGCAACCCCAAACCCAGAACCCCTAACACCAGCCCTCACCCTCAAAACCCAGAAACCCTGAACCCGGAAACCCTTTTGCATCCAGCAACCCCAAAACCTAAACCCCCAAGCCCAGAAACCCTGAACCCAGAAACCCTAAACACAGAAACCCTACGCCAAAAAAACTTTCTTCAGCACGAGCTTTAATTACAGGCCGGCAAGCAAACCCTAAACCCCCAAAACCGCGAAACTGGAAACCGTAAACCCAGAAACATCCAGAAACCCTAGACATTTAAATTCCAAACCCCTGAACCTAGAAACCCTAAATCCAAAAACCCTGAATCCAGAAACCCTAAACCCCACCCCTTTTAGTTGAGCCCTAAACTTTGCCCTAAACCCCACCCTAAATCCCGAAGCCCCCAAACCCACACCTTGAACCCAGAAACCCGAAGCCCTTGAACCAAGAAACCCTAAGCAACCCCAAACCCAGAACCCCTAACCCCAGCCCTCACCCTCAAAACCCAGAAACCCTGAACCCGGGAAACCCTTTTGCATCCAGCAACCCCAAACCCTAAACCCCCAAGCCCAGAAACCCTGAACCCAGAAACCCTAAACTCAGAAACCCTACGCCAAAAAAACTTTCGTCAGCACGAGCTTTAATTACAGGCCGGCAAGCAAACCCTAAACCCCCAAAACCGCGAAACTGGAAACCGTAAACCCAGAAACATCCAGAAACCCTAGACATTTAAATTCCTAACCCCTGAACCTAGAAACCCTAAATCCAAAAACCCTGAATCCAGAAACCCTAAACCCCACCCCTTTTAGTTGAGCCCTAAACTTTGCCCTAAACCCCACCCTTTTTGCATCCAGGACTCTCGCAACCAGCCGGGAAACTCTTTTGCATCTAGGACTCTCGCAGCCGGGAAACTCAAGTCCCGAAACCCCAAACCCCCAAACCCTGAACGCAGAAACCCGAAGCCCTTGAACCGAGAAACTCTAAGCCCAGCAACCCCAAACCCAAAAGCCCTAAAGCCATCCCTAACCGACCCAAGAGCCACCTTCACTCCACAAGCCATGCTTTTGGCTCTACTCCTTCGCCGGCGACTGCCTCTGTGCGCTCCTATCAGCGGCCCAAGCCCAAGCCCGGGGTGGGGCCAACCGGTTGACGCACTGGGAGACCACGCACTCGCTTCTTCTTTCAGGACGTCTTTTCGAAGGAGAAAACGAACTAGGCCACGGCATGCTCTGCGGATTCGCAACGAATACTGTCGCGACCGCATGCTGTTCCAGTTTTTTATCGGTGTCCGAATAGGCTCTGCTGCGACCGCTGGCTCGCTGCTGTACCTTCTCAACCACTCAGATTCACGCCTGCAGACAAGGGCAGCTGGGGAAGCGACGGCAAAATTGAGCACATCTTCCAAGAGTGGTCCGGCGGGGTGCGCCGGCCCCAGTTACGGCGGCAAGGTGCTCTGTCCGCGGTGCATATGATCAGATGCTACAACCATAGTACGATGACGCCGATTTGTATTTTGGCTCAAGCACGTCGGCCGGTGGGAATCTGTGTTTAGCCTCGGGGCCTCTGCTTTCGAATCTCAACGGCTCCTGGGCCATTCAACATACCTGACGCTGTAGTCTGTCACGCCGCCTGACGCGGCAGATGGGGTGCTCTGGGAACGGGGAACCCCAGGATAAATAAACCCGGTTGTAACGCCTGGCCCCCCCGGCGCCATCCGGGCCACCATGTGGCTTAGACCTTAAGTGGGTGCCCGACCCTTAGGTTTTCTGCCCGCATGTCGGACACGCCTCCCGATTACTCACCCGGTGAGACCACCCCGACGGCACCAGTGCATGCGCCACCAATGCGCTCCCCAACCACTGTGCACTCGTCGCCGATCGCGGGAGCAGACAGCGCTCCGGCGACTCCGGACTGGTTGCTCAGCAATGATGCGCCTTCTCCCCCGCCATGTCCCTCTACCGATGCGTGCCCGGTCTGCTTATGTGAGTTCCCGAGCCACTCCCGGGGCCCGGAAACACCGTTCCACTGGCCTCATTGCGGCCATGCGTTGCATTTGGGTTGCGTTGCCCACCTCGTTGCCAATGTCCGCGATCTACGTTGCCCCACTTGCCGTGCTCGGTGGCCGCCCGAAGCCGCCAATGCATTCACCACAGCATGCCATGCACATGGTGTCGAGGCGCCACAGCCTGCCCCGGACCACGACACCACGTCCCGTCAATACCACAACTCCACGGCGCCGAGACCGCCTTCACACATCCTACC